ATTGTATATATCACAAATTTTCAACTTTTTTATTTTCAAAACTTTTTTAATCAGTTGGAGTTTTTGATTAGTATCAAGGTTTTAAAAGTACGAGTGATTACAAAATTTAATTTTTTTATAACATTTAACTGCATATTAAGTTCTTTATAAAATGATTGAAAAAAATTGAAGTTATGGAAAGCTTTCTGTCATTTGTGTATTAAATTTACTCTAATCCTATCCTATGAGTCAAGAGTTAATCAGACCATAAAATATTAGATGATGGCTAAACGTGGCTACATCAAAAAATAATAGAGAAAAAGGAACAGCGAAGCAAAAAAAAAAAGCTTTCTTCATCCTTGTGATTTTTCGATTATTTGCTCAGTTTTTTATTTAAAAGAAAAAAAAAACTTGAAAGAATTAAACAAATAATTAATTAAATTTTACTCAAAACATTATTTTAATTAATAGCTCTAATTAATAGCTTTTGCTAGAAATAAAAATAAAAGGGAAAAGTAGCATTTGAAATATTATTTGAATAATTTTGATTTTTCAAATTTCTTCCAATTTTTCATCCAATTTTTAACGTAATAGATATTTTTGCATTCTTTTCTATTCTCCTAATTGGAAAAAAAGAGGAAAATTTTCGGTGGTATTATTTAAATTCGATTTATGTTGATTTTTTTTTTTCTTCAATTTTTTATATTCTTACATTCACTTTATTTGCATTTTCAAGAGCTAAAATTATTTTCTTTGGAAATGTTGGAAAAGAAGTTTGAGAAATATGTGACATGTCGCCTTCATTTTTTACAGCTATACTTCAAACAAATCTATTCTTTGCACCCTTTTGGCTATTACTTTGTGAAAGTATCAATGTGTAAAGGGGAGAGAAACATTGAGCATTTCAAATTTTCAAATATTTAAATTAGCAACAAAAATGAGAGGTTCAAAATTGCAAATAGCAAAAGATGCAGATAATGAGGCACATTTAACGTGCCTTAAATTTAATAATTAACAAGCGGAATATGAAACGAATAATTAAGTATTCTAATAGCATTTAGCAAAAAAAAAAAAAACTGATTTGACAATGAAATGATAATAAAACCATTGAATGAAGGAAGATAAATATTTTACGATGAATTATTTGAACGCAAATATGAAAGTATTTCCTAAATTTTGGCATTAATTTTTTTACATGATTTAATGTTATAACCATGTATTTATATATTTTTCGTTATTTGTTTTTATCTTTAAGTTTTTAAGCTTTATTGATTGTTTTGAAATTCATTAAAATTTTATAAATTTTGTTAAATTTGAAAGATTCGAAATTTTTAAATTGTTTTTCTTTTTCGATTTCTTGAAAATTTTCGGGATGATTTTAAGGGTTAACTAAAATTTTTATGAATGTGATCGGATATTATCACATACTCTTCTGATCTGTAAATTAATTTCGTTGTTTATTACGTACTGACATTGATGGCCTTATTATTATTATTATTTTTATTATTGAAAATGTATGATAAAGTCTCGGTTTTTTAATCTTCCATTTTTGGTCAAAACAATGTCAATGAAATAACGATAAGAAAAACGGGAAAAGGCTTACGATTAGAAGTATAATTGAAGTATAAGCTTAAATTTCATATCTGATATCTAAGCTATGACCTATTTTTTCTTCAGCTTACCTTTAATCTACTTCAGGTCACATTTAATTTATTTTTCGCTTCAGCTCGTATTTAACACATTTTCTGTTATTAAGTTATGTATCAATTAATGAAATAATTTGGACTTAATTATAGCTAATTGTTGGCAAATCCACAATTTTCAAAGCAAACTAATCAAATATTGATAAAATTTCTCAAAATGAAATTAGAAAATGAAAAGAGAAAGCGATAAAGTAGGCATTTTTGTTTGCAGAATTTTTAACATTTTTAAATATTTCTGGTGCATTCTTTGCTATCCAAATTTAATTGGAATAAAAATTTGATTAGCAAAGATAATGAGCAAAATTCTATTGTAAAGATATTTCGTAAAATTTTGCTAATGGAAAATATTGTTAATAAAATATTTGATGGATTATTGGAATTTATATTCCATTCATTCATGCAAATTTATTTATATTCCACTCATTCATGCAAATTTAATTACAAGTTAAATTTAATACTTCATATTCAAAAATTTTATTGGTTAGATTTAAAAAATTTTATTGGCTGATTACTAAGGATAGTTGGTTACTGTTCGCAACAGCGAATTAACAGAAGGCATTTATTTATGTCAGGAGCCATAATAAGACTTTCCAAATATAAAGACGGAATTTTAAAAAATGATGAACAAAAAATTAATTTGGTTTGTCTCGATCAGGTAACAAATTATTAGCTATTCTTTCATTTTCCATGATAAAATTTGAGGTTTACAAAGAAATCGACATCTCAACTTGACTTTACGTTAATAATTTTAATTAATAGCAAAGCAAAGATAGCAATCGCAGATGAAAATAATATCTGTCTTTTCATTTCAACGACAATCTGATTTAAAAAAAAAAAAAAAATCCATAACGAAAATGAATAATTACCAAAGAGAAAAAGGAAATCAGAAGAAAAAAAAATGGATTGAAATACTATTCATCGATCAATATTATGAAATATGATAAAGTTAAATGAAATGAAATGACGAATTGAAGTGAAGATCGAAAAATTCAGATCATTGACTTCAATCATTTAAAAACAATCACGTCAAATTCAAACTCAGATCATTGCTAGCAGAATAAATAATAGAGCATAAAAACATGTGGACTCTTCAGGAGAAATGTGATTTACATAAAAATCAAAAGAATTGTTTTTTAAATTTAAAGCAATCAATTATTAACGACCTATCTAACTATATTTACAGACGTACGTATGTTTTGATGTGGAACAATTGACAAATGCAAAACAAGAAGTGAAATTAAGACGTTGTAAAAATATACAGGATGATATTGTATGGCGTATGCGAACAAACGTGCCTACCCGATATCTCATTAATCCATCCCGAGGTTTCATTCAGAACGATGAACCTGTTACGGTAGTTAAAATATTAAAATACTCTTTGAACAAAATTTTTTTTTTAAATTTCACTTTTCTTGTAAAAGTTTTGATTAATTTAAAATTTGAACTAGTTGATAAACTAGAAGTTCAAATAATGATTACTATCCCTCATTTTTCAATACTTGAATTATATTTTATTTATAATATAATTCAACAAATATTTATGTATAATTTTACGGTTCAATTAACACCTAGAAAAGAGTAATTGCATAATTAAATCATATTTATTTTGATTATTTTTGAATAGGATAAAGTATTAATGCTGCATTAATTTTTTTTTTAAGTATTGCTTTTTTCTTCTTCCAGTAATAATGAATTAGTGCAATTAAAAATAACAAAAAAAATTACAGCTAACAATCGAATTGGTAGGAAATAAATTTCATCCCAAACATAAATTAACGCTTCAAGCGATAGCAATGATCGATGGATGTAATGAACGAACAATTTGGAAACATCAAAAATTTAACTGCAATAAAGTACAAGTAATACGATTAAAATTGAGTACAGTTTTGATGAATATCGAAATGTCCAAATATGAGGTTATTTAATTTTTGTAAAAATTAAACATTTTTTCAAAGAAAAAAGCCCTTTTAAGGATCAATTACAATAATATTAAATCATTTAAGTAAACCAGTGAGAGCAAATGAATATATACTATCAAATCATAATGTGCAAAAAAATATATTTGAATATAAACTTTAATCGAAGATTTTATCGGAATCTAAAACATTCCTCTGAAAAATCCCTCTTGAAATTTTTTAAATTTTAACAAAATTAACAAAGATACATTAAAAATTTTCATAATTACCTGTAATTTTCATAATTACCTGTTAATGAAATATAGGAAGAAAATCTTACAACGGAAGCAGAAAACATAAAAAGTGCTATTGAGCAGAGCTCAACAACTGGATTAGCAGGTATCAAAGAATTGGAAAAATTATTGAATGATTTAAAAGAGGATTTTAATAATGTGCGAAAAAATACTGAACGAACGAAACGTTTAAAAGCAATCTTAGAGCAAGCATTAGATTCACGGTAATTAATTAACTATTACACTGGAAAGTTTCTGGGATTTCATTGTTAATTTTGATGCTCAAAAAAAAAAAAAATTGAATTATCCTTAAATATATTTCATTCATTTTACTAATTGAGTATTTTATAATTTCAATAAACTTTCAATTTAATTTACAGCAAATTATCTTTGATTGAATTAAAGCGACAGCTAATGGAAAGTGAATTGGAAACGAAAAAATTGATGAAAGAACTGGAAGATAAAGAAGCGGAACTACAAGTTGCGCAGCAAATGCAAACAAATAGCATAGTGCATCCAACATGTCGAATTTCATAAAATACTTCTTTTTAATTCCATTACTTTTAAACAATGCTAAACTACAGATATGAGTAAAATTAAGTGAAATTTTCAATTGATAAAATTCAATTATCACTATAACATTACTGTTCTATGATACTGTAAGCATGAAAAGTGTATATTATCGCATACCGTTATTGTCTTATGATACTATGTAAATAAAAGTGCACTTTAACGTGTAAACCATCAAATAATGGAAAATTATTGAAGTAATTTCTCCTATTTGCTAAATTGAATTTTTAAAAAAATGTCTGAAGTGTAAAAAGTTGCAAGTCAATATTTTAATTTAATAATTAACCTAGCATGAATTATGATGTGATTAACATTTGTATGCTTTAATCGTCTTATTTATTATATATCGAAACATTTCACAATTGAGAATTTAAACATGGATCATAAGTGGTTAAATTGATGTTTGAGCTGAGATATTGTAGGTTTGGTAAACATATGTTATGATATTGACGTATCGTACGTGTACGGTACGCTTAAATGAGCGGGTCTTCGCCTTCCTCATCAACTGTTGGTTCATCGTTCGTCTCATAAAGTTTGCATTCATTCTCTTTAATTCTAACATGCAAATTTGATGATATTACAGCATTGAGCGGTTTTTGATCGTCCATTTCATGAACTGATTTAATCTCTTCTGCTGCTTTTTCCATTTCAAATTTCTTTAGCTTCAAATAAATAAATTTACTTTATGATAAATATTTTTGGAACAACATATAATTTCTTCAATTTCATTTATTGAACAATTAAGTTAGCTATTTATGAAATAAATGCGGGTGATAAATAATTTCCATCGAGGTTGATAAAATGGATTAGCCGTTTGTTAAGCAAATAAAGATGATACCTTACAGAGTTCATCAATATTGCCCAGATTTTTAACTTTATTCATCGGTATGATATCTGCTTTGCTGCAATTAAGGAAATTTTAATTGTTATTCAACCTGCTTTCCCTACAATCTAAAAAATAATGCAAAATTGGACAAGAAGGCTATTTTAAATTAAAACCTAAAATAAGGATAATATTATTGACAATTATATCACATAATTTTTTGCTTGAACGCTAGAATTACGTCTGAATTCATTGTTAACAATTTTAGACAATCAAAATATATTTCTTTAAAAATATATTTCTTTAAATTGAAAATTTTTCGAAATGAAAGTATATTGATGAATATTTTCCACCACTCACTCTGGATCGCTTTCATCAGTTCCCTCAATTTGAGTTGGATCATCTTTCCTAGGCTCATCTTTCTGCAACATAAATCATGATAATTTTTCTAATTTTTAAATTCATTTTTTTTTCCTTCTTTCTCATTTTTTTCTTTTAACGATTTGAAATATTTCACCATCTAATGCATTAAAAATTCGATTAATAATTGTAATCAAAATAATATATTAGCAGTGTTAATATTTCATGTAATTCTAAAAATGGTAATTTTAGTCGTATAATTTACATATTTGCTTTTCTTCATTCATTTGTACTATTTGTTTACAAAAAAAAAAAAAAATGAAATTTTTGAAACAATAAAAAGTTATATGCAAAAAAAAGAAAAAAAAATGATACGGTTTCCGTAATTGCGTTCGCTTTTGCTCCCTTTGTTAAAAAGTTTTTAGTTTTTGCTTTTTTATCCTATAAATTTATTCACTTTTTCTTTCTGCAAAAAATGAGTAAATTGTTTTTCGTTTCAATTCAAATTTTCAAAAAATATCTTTGAAGACATTTTTATAAATTTGAAAAATTCTTGCTCAATTATCCTAAACTTTTTTTTCTAGAAATTTTGCAAATTATTTTTCATTTGCACTTTTTTTCTAGATTTATTCCTAATGAAATATCTTTTATCATTAACAATCTTTCGTTGAATTTCTTGCTTTAGTGATTTGCGCAGTATCATTCGTTGTATTCTTTAATGCTTCTACATCCGTTACATCTGCAACTTTTTCAGATATTTTTGCTTCAATTTTCTTCTTCTTCTTCTTCTTCTTCTTCTTCTTTAAACAACACATTTGTAGGAGTGATAAAATCATTAATGCAAATAAACTTTCCGTTACCTTCCATAATATATGTGATAATACTGCAAATTTCAAAAAATATTTTTTTTTTGAAATTGTTTTCTTTTTTGTAAAGTAATTTTTAAAATATATTTTTTAAAATTCACTTATTTTCCTCAAATCTGTTATAATCAATGAATTAGAGATGATAATTATTAACAGATGCTTGCAAATATTGAAAATAAACAATTGCTAACACGAAAAAAAGAGAAATCAAATACAAGGAATGGAACTTTTTGAGGCATTTAAATTTGGTCAACTGTTTGAGTAATGATGCATTGAAATTTAATCATTTCTAACTAATCGTTCCATATTAACAAATTGAATTATGCGAACAATAAAGTTTCATTCATACCTTCGAAGCGATGGAAATATAGCAATTCAATTTGTGAAGCGCTTGTTGTCATCGCTCCACTGTTAATTTAATTCCTACTGCTGTAGCAATAAGAGGCAATAGAGACTTTACAGGTAATTTTAAAAATTATGAAAGTTGCAGTACCGTATAATCACTTATCATTCGTATATATATTATTTTATTTTTAGCAAAAAAAATTGCATATGGAAATTTTGAAAATTTTCAACGAATAGCCTTAGAGGAGCATTT